TTTGGGTCAACAGACACTATAAGGTCACTTCGGAAGCAATGGCAGGTCCTTCCTTCATGTAATTACTTTTAAAAGATCAGGCTACATAACCCTCATTATAGATTAACAACAACCAGATTTATTAAGAATAAGCATGGATCAATGAGGCACGATATTCCTCACTTGAATATTACTAGTGACTGAGTTCAAATTATGTGTCAATCTTTTTCAACAACAAATAATTGAAATTTCACTCTTTCCCTTTACTCACATTTCAAAATAATAAATCTTGAACAAATTTAATCAACAATCGCAGCATTGCTATTTCCGTCCGAAACACGTTACAATAACACTAAGAATTTCTGTCTAATACTTCAACATTACAACCCGGTTGTTCAGTCTCCCCTCCAACCGGTTTTCTCTCCGGCTTGTACACACAAACACTATTTGTTCCGTGATAACTTGGGTTACACTTCCCCGCTGCTGCCTACACAGGTCTTACCACAGGCACACTTCATCCTCATGACACATTTCCGTAAATCACATAATAAAACCGTCATTCCCTAACTAAAATCCTATCCAGTGACAAGGGAACATGTAATGGTGGACAGGGAGAGCTCGACGGCGCCAGCAAGGAACCTGAACACCCAGATGACAAGCGAAGCTCTCGTTAGATAATCTTTAAACACAACTCCTACTCTTCCTAGCATCATATGACATACTTTTAATTACTCGAGATGTTATAATTCATAGTATTTACTCCCAGAGCTAGCAATAATTCATAGGTCAACACAACATTACCTGAACACCCAGATGACAAGCGAAGCTCTGGTTCGCTTCGTCTCGCAACGCTCCTCCCCTTGATCAGCTCAACCTAAAAACTATGTTCCCAGCTAGCGTCATTCTTCTCTCTCCTGTCTCATTAACACAAAAATAATTTACAATATTATATCTTGTTTAATAGATGGTAACTGATGAAATATATAAAAAAGGAGTCTTATACACTATTATCAAATATTTAAGAAGCTCTGATTTTATTACGAGGTGGTTTCATGTACTTATATTATTTTAGCGCCAAATTCAAAATATTAAATTTCCCATTTAACGTTAAGAATTGCTAAAACTGTCATAATAAGAGTTCATAAGATCTCTATACCCTTCTTAAATCAAGACTCCTTCATTCATGTATATTTTTATCATACTTATTTGACACATTTAACATCATTCACTATACAACGAAAAAACACTACCCTTAACTGAGATGAACATGACAAGGTTATACATGACTTTATATATATTATATATATATATATATATATATAATATATATATATATATATATATATATATATATATATTATATATATATATATATATATATATATATATATATATAACCACACACACATAAAACATAACAATTTCTCCTCCGTCCCTTTCACAGCTTCCCTTCTGAACCCTTCCTGCCGCCCTCGCCGCTGCAAAAAGTGTCGCCTTCCCTTCACTCGGCGCAGAAAAAGCCTCCTTCTCGTTACAGTCGGCGACTTTTTCCCTCTCCTGGACCGGCGTCCGATCAGCTGCTCGAAAATATGGTTTCCTACAGCAGCTGACGCGACCAAGCGAGGAGGCTCTTCTGAATTCACATATGTCTGTATATAGGTATATAGATGTGGGTATATATATATATATATATATATATATATATATATATATATATATATATATATGTGTGTGTGTGTGTGTGTGTGTGTGTGTGTGTGTGTGTGTCTGTGTGTGTGTGTACACACACATATATATATATGTATATAGATAAATAGATAGATAGATAGATGGTTGGATGGATGGATGGATAGATAGATTGATAGATAATTATATATATATATATATATATAGATAGATAGATAGATAGATAGATAGATAGATAGATAGATAGATAGATAGATAGATAGATAGATAGATAGATAGATAGATAGATAGATGGATGGATGGATAGATATAGATATATATGTGCGTCTGTGTTTTGTGTTTTTTTCGCTGTATCATGAATGGTGAAAATAAATGTAATAGAAATAAGACGAAAAAATATATATGAATAAAGGATTCCTAATCTAAAGGGGCATAGAGGTCTTACGAAATCTCACTTTTGCCAATTTGAGTAATTCGTAAATATTAATGGATATTTAGATACTTTAAATTCGGCGGTGAAATCATGTGGCTACATGAAAACACCACGTATTAAAATCAGAGTTTCTTATATATCTAAAATACGCGCAATAGACTCCTATGGATAAATGATTTCGTCATTTACGATTTTCTAAATGAGATAGTGTGTGGTAAATGAATTTTGCGATGAATGGGACAAGAGAGCGAACGACGACGCTGACAGTGAACGAAGGTTTTAGGCTGAACTGCTCGAGAGGAGAACCGATGAGACGAAGCGACCCAGAGCTTGGCTTGTCATCTGGATATTCAGGTAATATTCTTTCTCTTCACAATCATTACTAATTTTGGAAGTATATATTGCGAATTTACATTTTTTTAAAGTAATTATATGACAGGGGATTGTAGGAAGAGTAGGGGTTCATTTAAGAGATTATCCAACGAGAGGTTCGCTTCTCTTCTGGGTGTTCAGGCTTCGTCTCCCTGTCCGCCATTGACCTGGTTTCGTCTCGGAATAATTTTTCTTTGACTGTGAAGGATGACTTTTCGTATGGATATCACAGTATTTATTCCTAAAGCTGTTGCGTAGTATTGCT